CTGTGTTGTCGATGTTTCTTCGCATGTGCAATGTTCCCTTTTCTGTGTCTCACGTGGCTCAATTGCCTGTAGGTGTATCTCGATGAATCATACATTGACAGGAACTACAACAGGAACAGAGACTCCCTGTATGACCCCAACGACGGTCAAGACATGCACAGTCATCGCAAGATCAAGCGGGGTCGGCGCTACTGCTTTGCCCTCGCAGTTCAGGGCCCGGATCCGCGCGTGTGCACCGTCAGTGACCGCAACGACCGCGCCCTCGCCGGTCCTGTTCCAGGCACGAGCTGGATCTTCGACCCTGGCAGCGCACTGCAGCGTGAGCGGCGACAACAACGACAACAACAACAACAACAACAACAACAACAACAACAACAACAACAACAACAACAACAACAACAACAACAACAACAACAACAACAACAACAACAACAACAACAACAACAACAACAACAACAACAACAACAACAACAGCAGCAGCAGCAGCAGCAGCAGCAGCAGCAGCAGCAGCAGCAGCAGCAGCAGCAGCAGCAAGCACCACCACCTCCTCCTCCGCCACCATCATCGTCACTTCAACCGCCACCGCCGCCATCATCATCACCACCACCACCACCGGCGTGTCTGCCTCCATTCCCCCTGCGAATTCCTCAGACTGACGGTGCAGGCGATGAGGAGCAGCCACAAGCATCGCAGTCATCAGCGCGCAAGTGCAGCCGCGCTGGCACCTGCGCTGGTGACGACGCTGCCGGCTGCCCGGTGACAGCGCTAAATGAGGTGCACGTGCGCGTCAACGCGACGGCCTGCCTGTTTGAGTGGCTGCCGCTCGCCGGGAACGATGCGGTGTACGCTGTTGTCATGGGTTCTTGTGGCCGTCCGCTGCGTTGTGCGTTGTGCGAGTGCGCGCTGCAGTTGGCGGGCCGTTCAGTGCACCCTGGTTGCCTGTGTTGTTGTGTAGGCGTGTGTTAAACTTACCGCTACTGCTGCTGCACTGTGGTTCTGCATGTGCCTTGTGTCCTTAGGTCCTTGAGTAAAGATGAAAGGCAACGTGTTGATGTGACATGATTTGACACACAATGCACAGAAAGCTCAGAATGCTAGAATGGGACACCACAACAATACCTGACAAAGCTCGACAGCTCGAGCTTTGGCTTTTGTGCAAAGGCAGTGGCGTACCTCCAACCGAAAGACAGGTGGTAAAATGTTGGTAAAAGGGGCGTGGCTGTGAATGGCGCGTTGACGATAATCTGTCAATGCCGCTCCCGCTTGCCGCTTTGTAATTGGCAAACTTTCGACAGATGGGCGTGTCTTCTGTCTTGTCGCAGGTGATTGGTTAAATGTGGGGGTTTATTGGGGAAAACTTGCTGAAATCTTACACTGTTCCCGGCGCTCTGTTTGTTTGTTTGTTGTTGTTGTTGTTGTTGTTGTTGTTGTTGTTGTTGTTGTTGTTGTTGTTGTTGTTGTCGGAGAAAAGAGGCCGTTGTCATTTCTCCCTCACCACCAACACCAACACCACCCCAGACACACACACATACACACACACCACCACCACCGCTGTGGTGGTGGTGGCAACACATCGCGGGCCTCCCAAAAGTGCTGTCAGCACTGATTAAGGTAAGACACACGCACACAACCCCCACCACACACATGTACATTCGGTCACATGCACATGTACTAAGCCCCCCACACCCTCACACTTTTTTCTCTCTCTTAGGTACCAGTCAGTCCCGGAAGTGGACGGCTGACACTCACTTTTTTCCCCTCCTTTTTTTGTTTTGGTGAGTTGGTATGGTGCCATTTTTGGCGTCCCAACCAACGAGCCATCCTCGCCTCGGCGAGGAAGGTAAGCACCTTGCTACCTTGCAACAACACCAACTCCTCTCACTCAAATGATCACACACACACACACACACACACACATGCACATGCACATGCACATGCTTGCACCCACACTTACTCACAGACACACCACGCATGCACATTGGTTCCTCGTTTCTTCGTTTCTACTTGGACTCTGGATTTGCCGACTGTCACCCTCGCCGACTGCACCTGATCGTGCCCTTCACGCTGCCTCTTGTCTCTTCCCCTGTCGTCTCTGTCTGCTTGTCTCTCTTTCTCTTATGCTGCTGCTGCTGCTGCTGCTGCTGCTGCTGCTGCTCTCGTGCTTGTCTGTCCCTTTTCTCTTCTTTTGGCGGCTGTTCGTGGGCCAACAAAAATTTGATTCGATGCACAAAGGAGTGCCCGTCTTGTTGTTGTTGTGGTGTGCTTGCTTCTTGTGTGTTTTTTTTTGTGTGTCGTGCACTCTGACAGACAGAAGCCATAAATCTGGGTGTGGACAGCGCCTCCGCCACCACCCACGACCAAGATCTTTGCTAACTTTCGATGATGCAAAACACGACTGGCGCGAAAATCTTTCTTTCGTGTCAATTTTCTTTCGGCGGCCATCCTCAAGTGCAAACGACGAACAGGCAGCGGAGAGATGTGGCAAGGTGGCAGTGGTTTGGATGGTGGTGGTGGTGGTGTTGACGGAGGAGGTGGTGACGGTGGTGTTGGTGGCGGCGATAGCAACAACGAGCAGCACATACTTGGTGGAGGGGAGCAAGGGGAGGAGCAGCAACAAGCACCGTATGCACCACTGTCCCCGACATACATGGGTCAGAGCAACGATCAGCAATATGAACCCGAGGAAGAACGCCGATTGGACGAACGCGAGGAGCAGCACGACAACAGGAGCGACGAGAGTCACAGCCATGGCTCTCAAAGCAACGGCCACGGTGGTGACACTGGAGATGGACCAACGCCAGCTCAGTCACAGCAGCATACCTTGGGCTCAGAAGGCGAGGACCACCCCACGTCCTCGCCACGAAGCCCATCGATCGCTCCGCAATCACCTCCGGGCTCCAGCACCAGTACACCACCAGCAACAATCGAAGCCACAACAACAACGACAACAACAACACCGACAACAACGACAACAACGACAACAACAACAATTCCAACTACAACTACTACGACTACTGCTACAACTACAGCACCCATTGCGCCCGCAGCACCGCCAACCGTGGTGGCCCGGCTGCAGCACGAGTCAGACTGGACGGTGCAAGCCACGGCCACGCTACTGCAGCAGGTGGCTCCGAGCTTTGCGGTCCTCGACCCGAAAACCAAGGTGAACGTGCTGCTGTGTCTCTTCCACATGCGCCACCACCAGCTCGAGGCAAGCCTGTGTCAGGATATGATCCACGCAGCAAAAGTCGACAGATCAGATTGGGTGCGGACCACGGCACGCATCCTTGAGCCATACCTTGAGCAGCGCAGGCTCAGCCACAACCTGAGCAAGTACAGCCAGTGGTTTTCTGACTGCGTTCGATCGTGCGTTCATGCTGCAGAGGAGGTTTCCCTCCCCGCCCGCGACAACACGCTTGTCAGCGCGCTTCTGCACCCAGATGTGGCTGCGCTCTCACCGGCCTTCCAAGGCAACAGCAACGAGGCCGAGCACGCCCCAAAGGATCAGCAGCACTTTCGCCTCAAGAAGCCCTTTGGCTCGCTCGAGGCCTTGTACCGGAAGACGGCGGCGGCTGCCGCCCGAACCACCACACACACCACAGCGCGGTCCCTTCGCCGTAACCGTACCGGCAGCACCGGCGGCACAGCCATGCCGTCCTTCCTGCGCAAGCCAAGCGTCGGCACGTCCAAGATGCGCCCGCCCATCATCGGTGCGCGGGACTCGGCAGGGGCCAGCGCAGCGTCATCGTCGTCCGTGCCGTCGTCGACCGGGCCAGGCCAGGCGGGGCGGGGCGGCCCGCAGCGCACGCACAGTGGCGGCATTCGCACACTCTCCTTCGAAGAACTCAACGCCAAGATGAAGCAGCACGAGCAGGACAAGAAGAAGACCCGCGGTAAGCGTGGTAAGCAGGCACAGGCACAGGCAAAAGCGCAGGCTACCAACGACAAGCCTGCAGTCACCACCGCACCTCAAACATCAGCCGCAGCCACAAGCAGTGCACGGCCAACAAGCGCTGACACATCTGCGCCATCCCTCAACACCAGCGCGGCTGCTGACACTGCCGGCCCAGCCGCAGCCTCGGCGCGCGTGCCCGTGCCGACTGCGGGTGTCTCGCAGCCCTCGGGCGGTGCGAGTGGTGGTGAGGCACAGCCAGGCATAGGGAAGCGGACTACCGGCGCTGGTGTTGGTGGAGCGAAGCGGCGAACACACGAACGTGAAGGAGAGGAGAAACGCGCAAAGACCACGGACACCGGCGTGCCGGCGACAGCGCCCCCCTCCATGGCTCATGCACACGCAGCGCCATCTGCCACAACGCAACCACCCCAGCATGCTGCGGCGCTACACCCTCCTGGCCATGTTGGACAACAACAACAACAACAGCAGCAACAACAACAACAACAACAACAACAACAACAACAACAACAACAACAACAACAACAACAACAACAACAGCAGCAGCAGCAGCAGCAGCAGCAGCAACCGCGGGCCGCACCGATGATGCAGCCGCCCTCGGGGTACACTGCGGTGCCACAAACGCAACAACGGCAGCAGGCATCACTGCCTCATCAGCCAGTTCATCAGCCACAGCAGCCTGTGCCAGGTGCGAGTGGAGCGGGGCAGGGCATGTTGGCGGCTGGGGCGACGTCGGCTGGCCAGTCGGGTGTGCCGGGCTACGACATGCCTGCGCTCATGCAGCAGCACCTGCGGCAGCAGCAGTTGCAGCAGTATCAGCAGCATTTGCAACAACAAGCGCAGCTGCAGCAACAGCAACAGCAGCAACAACACCCGCAACCAACACAGCAGCAACTGCTAGCACAGCAACGGATGCAGCTGCAGCTGCAACAACTCTACGGGCAGCGCGCGCCACAGATGATGGCTTCGCCAGCTCACCTCTACGCTGCAATGCGGCAGCAGCAACAGCAACAGCAGCAACAGCAGCAACAGCAGCAACAACATCAACAACCACAGCAACAGCTGCAGCAGCAGCAGCAACCAAGTCCGCAACAGCTGCAACGGTTGCAGCAATTGTATCAGCTGCAGCAGTTGCAGGCGGCCGGGATGGCGCCTGGCGGGCAGCTGCAGCCCATGTCGCAAGTGCATGCGCCACCGTCCACAGCAGGACCAAGTTCCACTATGGGCGGGCTTGATCTACTGCTGCGCGCTGCTGAGCAGCAGGAGGCAGCAGCCCTACCGGCCCACAGTCAACAGCAGCAGCAGCAACAGCAGCAACAGCAACAGCTACGGTATCTCCAACACCAGCAGCAACAACGTCTCCTGCATCAGCAACAACAACAACAGCAGCTTGGGGTTGGGGCCCCAGATGGCGCTCATGAGCAGCGCCACATTGCCGCGCTGCTCAGCACGCTGCCTGCAGACCAACAGGCCCTCTTCACACAGCGCAATCGCCTTACGCTGGCCAAGCTGCGGCAAATCATGGCGCACATCAGTGGTGCGGGACAGGTGCATGTGGGTGCTGAGGGCGGCCGCGCAAAACAGGTGGTCGTCGTGCACGAGGAGGAACAGGAGACGCCGCGTGGCCGAAAGCTACAGCAAACCGTGATTGAGCTTGATCGCAGTACAGGCGGCTGGCGTAGACTCACCCGTCTACGCAAACTCTGACAGAGGGTGTATATGTGTGTGTGTGTATGTGTGTGTGTGTGTGTGTGTTGTGTGTGTGTGTGTGTGTGTGTGTGTGTGTGTGTGTGTGTGTGTGTGTGTGTGTGTGTGTGCACCTGCCTGCTTCTCGGGCTGTTTTCTACTCGACTTCGTGTGTTTGGAGTGTGTCTGTTGTGCGTACTTTCCCTCGCTAACCGTTGTTGTTCTCACAGAAGTCGTCCACTGTACGTAGCTCAACCATCAATACAAGCGAACGTGTAAGCGTGAAGGTTTCACTGCAGCAAGGCGCACCAACACGACTCCGTAAACTAATAAAGAAAACAAAAGGTGGAGGAGGAGGATTAACTCCAACGGAGGAAACATGCACAGTGAAGGTGGAACACGATCGATTTGGAGCAGCATGTTAACAAGTACGAGTGTGCACTCACAACAACAACGACAACTTACGCAACAACCCTTCCTGTTATGGGTTGGGTGTAAGGCGCTATCACACTAATCATGGACCGCAACTCCACCAAGCACGTGCTCAAGGATCAATTAAAATCAACAAATCGAGGCAGTGCGGGCATGGACCCACACGTAAACACACACACACACACACACACACACACACACACACACACACACACACACACACACACACACACACACACATACACACACACGCTCGTATAAACACACAGGCATGCATGTTCACAACCAGGGATGTCAGAAAGCTGTTGATGTAGACAGCCCGCAAGTGTACGCTGACTGGGCGTCATCTGTATACGGCTGTTGCTGGTGGCTGTTGTCTGCCACTTGTCCAGTCATGTTGTCAAGCTCGATGGGGACAGCCCCGGCCTCGGAAGACGCCGTCAGCTCAATGGTCGGCAGCGCTTTGTGTTCCTGGCGCGCGGGTTCCTCTGTGATGGCCGATGCAGCAATCTCCGACACCGCGACGGTCGTGGCAGGAGACAACGACGTCGCTCGCCCACCACCGTATTTGCTGGCGCCGTGCTTGCTGTGATCGTGGCCGTGGTGGGAGTGTCGCGAGTGGCGGGAGTGGTGGGAGTGCCGAGAGTGATGCGAGCGGTGCTTGCGCCTGGTGGTTCGTCGGTGCGAGTGGGGCGATGCGCTGCTGCCCGCGCCATCTGCGCGGTGGGCCAACGCCGGGTGTAGGTGCGCCGGGTGCGTGGTGACCCGCTTCTTGCGCAGCAGCTTGCGGAAGTCGTCCTGCTCGCGATCGAGGGCGTACTTCATCTCCTCCACCAGCAGCCGCTTGGCGCGGTGGCGGTACGTCAGGTACAGCACAGCCAGGATGAGGGCGAAGATGACCGGCACGGCGGCGCCGCGGAGGAACACATAGTCCCACCCGCGCGCAACGGTGGAGTCGCCGTCGTCAACACGCTGCTTGACAATGTGGTAGATGCGGCTGCCCGTGAGCTGGAACGGCCCGCAGTCGCCCGGCGGGCGGGTGAAGATGATGAGGCAGCCAAAGGCGGTCGAAAACAGGTACGTGAACAGCGTCGCCTTCATGTACGATTCCTGCGACAAGCGGATGACGGTGTACGGGTGCGACGACGCGTAGAGCACAATGGCCTGCTTGATGTAGAAGCGAACGATGCCCAGACCGAGGGAGATGGCCGGCAACAGGGGCACAAAGGGGAACCCAATCCACAGCAGCGCCTGGCTGTAAGCTGCGCCGACGAACAGCGCGCCCACGTTCACGCGCGGGGGGCTGCGCTTGAGGAAGCGGCATGCAAGCGGCACAGCGGCCAGCCACAGAATGTCGATGGTGGTGCGGAAGACGGCATCGAAGATGACCAGGCGGTACAGCTCCTGCCCAAGGCGCGTCTCCCAGCACGCGTCCGTGTTGGGCGTGTAGAGGAAGACAAAGGTGCCCAGGTACGTGCCAAAGACGCCCGCTGTCGCCACAAACATGACTGTGACGTCCCACCACATGCGGATGAGCGAGTTCTTGAAGGTGGTGAATGCGCGGAAGGGCTGCTGCACGACGGGGATGATCCACGCGCTGGCAGTGCAAACAAAGGGCGTGAGCAGCGACCGCCAGTAGGACGTGGTGCCGGCCTCGCTCTCCTGCAGCACGTGCAGGAAGTACGCGCCCGCACCAACGCCACCGAGGAAGACGAGGGTGACCAGCACGGTGAGCGCAAAGCTGCCCACGGTGGAGGTTGGGGCAGGGATGATGCCCCAGATGGGCGGCACGTCCTGGCGGTTGCGGCGCCGGAGATACTCGTTGTACATCTCCTTGCATAGCAGGGTGCACCGCGAGTGCTGCCGTTCCGTGCCAGCGCGGGTGGTGATGGTGTGGTCCCAGGAGGCAAGCACCTGCGTGCCGATTCGCGTTTCCTGGTACAGGGTGTGGTAGATGACGTTGCGGCGGTGCAGGCGCCCCAGCGTGTACACCAGGATGAGTAGGGTGAGGAAGAAGGTGAAGATGATGACGGAGAAGTACGCGAGCGGGAGATCGTAGTTGCGCTGCACGTCGCCGGAGACGTAGTGACCGTAGAACAGGATGGAGGTCTTGAAGCTGCCGGTGCCGGCGAGGAGGCCGCCCAGCACGGTGTCGCCAAAGGTGCCCTCGTCCTCGTTGTTCTCCTCTGAGACGGAGGTGAGCGCCATGGGCAGCACGACAAAGCAAGACCAGCACACGGCAAACAGCAGGTTGAGCTTGAACAGGAACGCGTACAGCTCAAAGAAGCTGCTCACGGCACTGCCTGCCTTGCTGGCAATGGCCCTGAGGCTGCCGGCCACCCACGGGTGGGAGATGAAGACGTTGACAGCCGCGCCAAGCTGCTGCCTGGCAACCGCGAGCTTGTACATGGTCCAGCCAAAGCACCCAAGGAACGGTCTTCCCTCCGCCTCGGCTTCTGCCTCAGCCGCGGCGATGCTCTGCCTCCGTCGCTTCTTTCGGTATCGCAGCGCCATCTTGCCTTCCTTGATCAGGACATGCTGTCGTTGCAGCGTGTTCAGGTTGTTCAGGTTGTGGATGCTGCTTCGCCGCCGCGCCGCCGCGTGCAGCAACTCGTGGCGGTGGTGCGAGCTCCCTCTTCCAGGTGACACATGGCTACCCCTCTTCCTCTGCTGCTGCTGCTGCTTCACATCCAGCGTCCCCGTCATGTCTTCTTCTTCCGCCTTGTTCGTTGTCGAACCGAGGGCGGTGGTCGATTGGCGGTCGATTGGTGGGTGGGAGGAGCGGTTGTAGTTGTGTGTCTCCCGCCCGCGATATTTGAAAATAATTTTGTGTTGTCGCGCTCAGGCAGGTGCCTGAAGAAAAAAAAAAAAAAAGAAAAGAAAAAAAAAAAACCTCCTCCTCCTGGTAGAACCCTACCCCACAGGATCAACAAGCTACCTCTACTGAGGGGTGTCTATGTCTGCACGCAGGCAGCCACCAGCAACCAGCGGAGAGGGAGACCAGCGGGTGTGCTTGGTCGCGTGGTTTACATACTTGGGGCTGCCTGCTTGACCCGTCGAAGGAACAGAAACGCAGGGAGGACTGGAGGACACGGTGTGATGTGACACTGACATTATTATTAGACTATTCTTTGAGTTGCTGTTGGTAGCGTGGAGAGAGAGAGAGAGAGAGAGAGAGAGAGAGAGAGACAGAGAGAGAGAGAGAGAGAGAGAGAGAGAGAGAGAGAGAGAGAGGGGGGAGAGAGAGAGAGAGAGAGAGATTTTTAAGTAACTAGATAATTTCTACTTTCCTTCCAGAGGGCTTTGTTTGACGCTTTGCTTCTCTGGCTCTGCGCCTCTGTTCTCCTCGTTTTGTCAACAAGGAGAAGCTCCTCTGCGTCACCGCTGCAGTTTGTGAGCCCATGGGTACAACTGTGCTGCGGTTGAGCTGGTCTGCATCTTCAACTCGCCCACTCCAGCACTCCACTCTCACTGGCCCACACAACGCGCCCTCAAAGTGATGTGATGTCTTGCAATACACTACACACTACACAGGGATTGTGCAGGCGAAAGCAGAGCGCACTGCCGCGTCCTGATGACGGCGCTATGAGCAAGCAAGACAGTACAAGGTGTTGATGCCTCCAACGACCGCAGCAGCGAGCACGAGGGGAGTGTCTGCCCTTTCGCGCTCTTCGCCCGTCACCCTCTTTGCTGGCTGGTTGGGGCGAGTCGAAGGGGCCCCAGCAAACCCTTTGCTTTATATGAAGAATTTTAGGCGCGAGATGGTGTGTACTGGAAGCCTGCACGTCCCCTTGCATGATGTCATCGCAAGTGCGACTTGTAGAGCGCGGGTTCGATACCCGCCCGCTCCTCGTCAGCCTCGAGGTGCTCCATGCCCTTATATATTAGGGAGAGGGTTAAGTATTGCCTCTATTTATTAGAGAGAGGGCTAAGTTATTGTCGCGCAGGCGGAAGGTACACACCCAATTTTTTTTTGGGTGTACGTATCTGCAGTGTGTATGTGTGTGTGTGTGTGTGTGTGTGTGTGTGTGTGTGTGTGTGTGTGTGTGCGTGCGTACATATCTGCATGTACAGTTGGGGGTGCTTTTTTTTTTTTTTTCGTTGATGTCTCCCTTCGTCATGCCCCTCTGTCTCTCCTTCATCCCTATGTATGTACAGCATTCCTATTCATTTCCCACTTCTGCACATGGCACAGAGGTGTATATATATTCAGTGGCCTCAACCTAGCTAGAGTCTTAGAGTCTATGCATGGGGGGGGGAGCACACATTCATGTTCTCGGGCGGTAGATGGTGACGAGCGCCAAAGCAGACGAGTTGGTCCTACACGACGCCAAAGGCGCGCGCATGTGTGTGTGTGTGTATATGCGTGTGTATGTGTGTGTCGACAGGTGGGGCAGAGAGTGTGCGTGTGAGTAAGCATGCAAAGCGACTTGGCTATGAACAAACAGTAACACGACCTGCTGCCCTTTCCCCACAATCGTGCTGATGCATGACACAAGCACATGCACCAGACCACGAACCTGTACAAGTCAGCAATGCATTTTAACGTATCCCAGCGAGGGGCATGGCTTGGCCGCACAAATTCTGGTGGTGTTGGGTCCTTCGCGCCCAAACAAAGGGGGGAAACAGACGCACGCATCCAAAAGGAAGCGCACAGTCACGTCATGAGCACACGCGCGTTGTTCCGCACCCAACGCAAGGAAGCACATCACGCAAACACATCACACATACACTTGCATGCAAATCACACACCACACACAGACATAGACACACACACAGACACAGACAGAAAGACAGACAGACAGACACAGACACAGACACACAGACACACACACACGCACATACACACACAGGTAAGCAGTTGGACGGACCCGAATGATGCGTTGGAGCAAGCACTCGGAAGCCAGCATGACGCGGATCTTTCGCTGCGGCACGCGGTGGTCTGTTTCAAACGTGTACGCAATCCATAGCCGATGCGACTCGACAGGTTTGTTGAAGGCACGGTCCACGTGTCCTGGTTATGGGGAAGCACACAACCAAGGTATAGACGTCAACAAGGCATGCGCACCAGTCACCTCTCCATGCAGCCAACAAAGGTCAAGCGTACGCATCCGATGACGATGACCGATGCACGGGTGACGGCACACACATCTAGCCACATGAACACACACACACACATGGACACAGACACAGACACAGAGACACAGACAGACAGACAGACACACAGACAGACAGACACACACACACGCACACAGACACACAGACACACGCACGCACACACGAACGCACACACACGCAGGCACGCACGCACAGATACAGACACTCAGATACACACGGACACACCGGGTGTACCTTCAGAATACTGTTTTGAGATGACGTTCTGTGCGGCCTTCTTGAGCGCTTTTGCAGCCGCACCACGCCCAACAGTGAACAGCACAGGCTGATCTGGCTCAGCACGTGCAGCCTCTGAAGAAGACATGCAGGGGTGATGAGGAACAGCATCACACGCAATGAAAGGAGGGGGGGGGGTGTCGGGAAGGTGTGCGCGGGTGAATGAATGAACGAATGCATGTGCGTGTGTGTGTGGGCGTGCGTGTGCGTGCGTGTGTGTGTGTGCGTGTGTGTGTGTGCGTGTGCGTGTGCGTGCGTGTATGTGTGTGTGTGTGCGCGTGTATGTGTGTGAGTGTGTGCGTGTTCGTGTGTGTGTGTGTGCGTGTACGTATGTGCGTGCGTGCACATGTTGGCACGCTTATGCATGTCCAAGTGGCTCTACATAATGCCGGACACTCGACAGCCCTGTCACACCACTGTTCCTAGGACTCGCGTCGGTCACAAAGGCTCTCACCTTTCAGCGTTTCCTTCACCAAGATGTCATTCTGTGGAGAGTCGGAGGAAATGCCACACGAAGGAGGTGTCGTAGCGTTGTCAGCTGTGGAGTGAACGATGTCAAGCACGTGTGGTTGACGCACGCAAAGGCATTACTGTACACACACACACACGCACACACCTCGTGGACAAGCTCTTCCAGCCGAATTTCGTTGAGTGTTGCAAACCGGAGGAATTGTCGCCGCCCTTCCTGTCAGCGCAGCCGTCGACAACAAGCTGTCAATGCACATCGCTCGTGCTCACCTCACAACACATGCCACACACACAGGCATGTACACGCACATGTGGGCATGTCCAGGTATCACGCAGGCAAGAGCGTTCAATAACAACAACAACAGCAGCAGCAACAGCAACAACAACAACAACAACAACAACAACAACAACAACAACAACAACAACAACAACAACAACAACAACAACAACAACAACAACAACAACAACAGTGACGTACAAACTCGAGCCAGTTGATGGAAAAGTTGACGGACTTGATAAACTCAAGGTTTGTGATGCTCATGCGTTGTTGGTGATCCGCATACAACTGACACAGTGAAAAGCGCAGAAAATCCACGTGTATGGAGCAAACCGATGGGTCACGCATACTTTCACCATGGTCGTGACAACTACAAGAAGAAGAAGAAGAAGAAGAAGAAGAAGAAGAAGAACAAGAAGAAGAAGAAGAAGAAGAAGAAGAAGAAGAAGAAGAAGAAGAAGAACAACAACAAGAAGAAGAAGAACAAGAAGAAGAAGAACAAGAACAAGAACAAGAAGAAGAACAAGAAGAACAAGAACAAGTCACCGCAGCAGCAGTAGCCCCCGCTCCGCCCCACCAATTCTCTCCAACCTGCCGGAGCGATTGACATACCTTAAGCACAACGCTGGGCACGGCCACGATGACTGCAATGATGATGTCGGGAATATGCTGTGTAACAAAGCCAGCCACGCTGCCCTCAATGAGCGGAATGCCATACTGCCCACCAAAGTAGTTGAGAGCCATCACAATGACAACGGAGAGGAGCACCCCGACGACGCACAGCGCAACATCTGCATAAAGCAAGCAAGTGCGCAGGCACGCGTGTATGCACACGTGAGGACGCGTTGTGGAGTGTGCACGCAAACAGCACAACACACACACACGCACAGCACAACACACCCATGTACACAGCACAACAAACATGCACACGCATATGTGTACAGCAAACGCACACACGTGCGAGTCTCTTCATGTGGAAACGTACAATCCCAGTCGACGTCTTCGATCAAGGAGTTGATGACCTCCCACAAGATCAGGTGTGGTGTTCGCAGGCTGGACTCCTCAGCCACCTCGCCGCGTCCAACTCGCGCTTCCACTGCCGTTGATTGAGCGTGGGACCGTGTGAACGATTGCACACTGTCGCGTGCGCGATCCTTATCAGCGTTGCTGGCTTTGCTTCCGGTGTGTGATTGCGTACCGTGAGGTGCAGCCACCCGAGCTCTGTTGGACTGTGTTGGCGGGTGCGCTCCGCCCCGATGCGAGCTGCGCAGCAGTGGGTGCTGGGTTGCTTCCCGTTTCAGTGGTGGGCAAGCAAGTCGGCTCCTTCCAACAGAATGTTCGCCTTCTGTTACCCTGCCTCTTTCACCACCACCGTCACCGTGCTGCTGTGATGACGGAGGTTGCCTGCTTGGTGTGCTTCTTGGCCGGCTCAGCTCCCGGTTCAGCCGCTGCATGATGATTTCTATGAATGACACCAACCATCCTTCCGTAACCGCCGTGGCTGGAAGGACTGTTCTGTTGATGCCACACACACACACACACACACACACACACACACACACACTCTCTCTCTCTCTCTCTCTCTCTCTCTCTCTCTCTTTCTCTGACTCTCCCTGACTCTCCCTGACTCTCCCCGTCTCTGTCTCCCTTTAAGCCCACTTTTTTTTTGTCATCATATGGCACATGACATCTGTACATCGCCACACCATGCCCAAGTTTTCGTGCAACCTTGGCTTCTTCTTCAACTCAGTACCACACATCACGCCGCCCGCTTTCGTGCACGCACATGCCATCACCATCCACCAGCGCTGCGTGTTGTGACTGTTGTGTGCTCATAGCTTGGCGACGGCGTGCCACACGCATTTCTTGTTTCTTCTTCTGGCTGCGTTCTCGCTGGTTAACATTTATACGACCATTTTGGTATGCGTAGGTGCCGCTGTTGCAGCGACTGGAAAAGGCCGGTGCCGCCGGATTTTGCGCTGTCGAGCTCGCGTTCGATCAGTACGAGCATGACCCCCAGATCGTGGCAAACGCCTGCGCGCAACATGGCCTGCACGTCGAACTGATCAACACCCCGAAAGGTGCTTGCTCCCTTGCGTGTGAGGAACGCCCGTGTGTACTGTGGTCGGACCCGGCCGCGTTCTGACAACCACACCCACGCATGACTGTTGATCTGTGCTTGCTTGTCCACAGGAAACTGGGAGGAAGGGGAACGCGGACTGGCTGCCATTCCGGGCAAGGTGACAGCGTCGAGTCAAAGAGAGAGAGAGAGAGAGAGAGAGAGAGAGAGAGAGAGAGAGAGAGAGAGAGAGAGAGAGAGAGAGAGAGAGAGAGCCGCAGTGTTAAGTGGCCCAGGTTAACCCACTATCCGTCGCACTCAACTGAGCGCGGATCACCGACTTGACCGAGACCAAACAGTAGAACTCATGATGGACATGGATAATACCTTGAAAGATTTATGGACATCGGGTTTGCACGGGCCTAGATTCCGACCTCATTGGACGATCGAAGAGGCGTCCATACTATGCAGATTGACGATTCTTTTTCGGAGTTCCTGTACTGGCTTCTGTTCATGAAATGACCAGCGCTCGCGGTTACTATTTTGCACAGATGTCACAGCGAGGCCATGTCTACTAACAATAGCCAGTCCTTGAGCGAGGGTTTACTAGTCCGCTCGAACGGCCCCGTGGGGGGTAGTGAATCATGCACCACATGCGTATAAGCTTCCGGGTAGTGCTTTCAGGAGAGTACGAGTCATGGCTACCTGCCTAGTACCGACATGGTCAGCCGGAGAGTCTAGTACCCAACAGGTCCATGTTAACCGGGTGTTCGG